ATATTCCTCGTTTATATATTACATAAAAATAGCTTTGTAAGACGTACTGTAATGTGTTAATATACTATAGAAGTCACCTTAAAAAAGAGCGCTATTATTTCGCGAATCAACCTATGATCCTAAGTCCGACGTCCATGTCTTCGTGAGCCATAGACAATGGCAAAGTCTAAAGAGCGAAGAAAACACAAATCAAAGTGCAAGATAACCACGTGCGTGACAAACGGATACGTGTTTTACCTATACTAGCATATATTATAAGAGATGATGACTCGGAGATCACGAACGTTACTTTCACTGAAAGGCAATAGGCGCCCGATATTAAACAGGGTACCGGGTTCGAATTCCCATCACGGCCGAATCGAGCAATAAGTTATTAATAAATTCAAATTAAGACATTCATTCGATGTTTGGCAGATTAAGTTAAACTGTCAGTCCCGCAGTGTTGTCACCACACTAGCGTAAATAAGTTTTAGTGGCGCCCTCTAGGCTAATATTAAAAAAAAAAACCATTCGCCTCAATTCTAAGATGTGGGACAGTATACCTCAGCAATGCCCCGATGAATGTCTAACATACAATATCTTAACTTTGAAGTCTGACAGCTTATAAAATGTGGACTAACATGTAATATTGGAGAGACGAGAACGTTGGGTTTCTGCAAATAAGAAACGCAGGCACTCTAAAATCTAAGTGAGTCTTGGATACGTCCATCTTTTTTTTTTCATTAATGGCAATGGAATGTTTTTATAAGCAATTTTGAGCTCACACATTTTTCACAAAGGCGGCGATAAGTGTATTTTTTTGTACTTCATAAGCAAAGTGCAAAAAAACAGTACATTTTGGAATCACCTCGGTGTACTTCTATATGCTAGTTGTAGTCTTTTTTTTTTCAATATATAAAATGACAAGTAGAATTCAAAACTTTCTTCCTGACCGTACTTTCGATAATAATTTAAGGCGGTATCGCTCGCAGGTATTTTTCAGACTTGGCGGAGTGTGACGTCATACTTTCATTTTTATACGGAACTCCCATATTTATACGGAATTCCCATTTTAATAATGATCTTTTAAAGCTAACGTATTTGTTCCTTTGCGGTTTCTCAAAAAAAAAAACATGTTTGTGTATGTGGGACACGCCACATAATTAAATTTTTACTGTCATTGAACAAGCAAAACTGTGATAAAAATAATGCTTCTATTATCGATCAAGTATAAATTATCAATTTTATAACATCTAATAATTGTTTTCACCATCACTTATATAACCTCACAGGTTTGATATTTACTTAAATCCAATTTTGCGAATCAATTTAAATCTACCCTCTGTCCTCGTTCGTCACTGCGCCAAAATAAAGGGCTTAAGATGCAAACCTGTCAATTTGTTATAAAGAGATTTTGGAAATGTGTATTGCAGAAAAGTAATAAAAAATCTGACACGACACATACAAATCACACAAAATATTACCACATCAAAATTAATTAAACCCTACACGAAAAATCTTACACAACACACAAAACTTCCATTCAATAAGACTTCACAAGCTGGAGTGTGTCAACTTCGCTACACCCAGGAAAATGAGTGTATAGCTCTTTTCTGAATTTAATGTGTCAGGATTTTAGGCACTGTAATGCCTTTTTTACTAAAATTTCCAATTGTTTAAATTTTTTTATAATACACTAGCTTATGCCCACTGCTCCGCCCGCGTGGACATAAAATGAATTCCTACACCTTCTATTTTGACCGCTAACGCCATGTCCGACATGACCTGATTCCACCCGTTCCTACTTTTGATTCTGATCCTAGTTCAATCTGAATCCCCACTCCGCTTCCATTGTCGATTCGATTCCGATAAAATTATCCCTTTTTTGACGGCTCTTCAGTTTTTACGCGGAAAACCTTAAATATGGTCCAGGATAAAAATTACATTATGTGTAACTATAATCCAGTAAGTTTCTCTACCTTCCAGAAAAAAATCCTTTAAATTGGTTCAGCTGTACCGAAGGAAATCCCGTAAAACAGACAGACAGTGAGACAAATTTTTGGAAAGAGTTGTTAGGGTATTGGCATATAGAAACGACCTTATAGAATTAAAAAATAGTAATTACTTTAGACTCCTATTGTGGTACGGAACGAGCTGGTCGAACGTTATCTGGCTAGTGCCACAGTACGCGTCTTTCCGCACATGCGACTACTGTGCGACAGTTTTATATGAGTAACGATCCGTATCGTTATCTTTCAACGGTGACATAATACTTGCTCTCATGTACATTTTTATCTCTGACCATGAAATGCACTATAGTCAACCACTTCTATTTAGTCGAGCCAGAACCGTCTTGACGTTGGCGATATGTACGAGTTGGAATCGATAGCCGATGTAATGTATTTTTTCCTACGTAAGTGTTATTTTGTGCTGTTTTATTAATAAGTAAGTGGCTCGGCAGATGTTGTTCCGTCGTGTCTCGTGGATGGCTTGCTCGTACGTTTAATGCACACAACTCCATCTACACGAGCTTAGAATGAATTCCTTCTATTTTTATATATTCATATCGATCTCAACCCCAGTAATGCTTTCGATTCCGATTGCGGGCTCACTTTTTATACAGATACATCCTTACGCTCGTTTCGACCCCAGTCTCGTTCTCAAGTTCGATGCTCGTCGCGCTTTCTACTCTGATTCTGATCGTGTTCTTTTCAATTAAAGCTTTCAACTTTAGAGAAGTTGAACGTGTATGCAATGGTTTATTGAACATAATTTAATAAACCGTTGCACACACGTATACAAAATTTATTCATACAAAACAATACAAAATAGATTTCACGAAAAGGCTGAGATTGTTTAGCCCTTGATTGATTCACATTGATTGATTTGGCCTAACTGATGTTACGCATTCGATTGAATTACGACGTTTAATTAAAGGGCTGGCCGCCCAACTGACTGGCAATTTAAGCGGCCGGGCGGTGACATCTATAGATTTTATAGTTTTGTTTAAGAATTTATTAGGTGGTTGCACCATAAAAAGGTATGCGATGATATGTTAGATATTAGGGCGTATCTTTATCTATACACATATAAATGAAATACCACCGACTGACTAACTCATCCCAAGATCTCCGTAACTATAGGTCCCATTGGCTTAAAATTTGGCATAATTGCCCTTTTAAGGACGTAGACCCTCACTAAGAACGGATTTTACGCAAACCCTATCTAAAAAAGAAATTGACTACGCGAGCAGAGGCACGGGCAAAAGCTAATATTTGTCTAAGTGTGAATATATATTGCATATGTTGAATTCGCGAAGCCCTTTCGAAATGTGTCTAAAATGCCCTTATACAAAAAACTTTAATTGCGGATACGGAAATTATCGTGTGAATTCGAAACACTTTAGTTTATTTCCTATATTTTCAGAATGAAGTTTCTTAACGCGGCTTGTGAGAGGTCTGAGTTTGTAGAAATCGTCATGTACCAAAAAAGCGTTATGCCCCCTCCATTTGACTTTCAGGAATTATCATTAAACTAATGTGTTTTTTTTAATATTACTGAATACTTACCTTGATATTTTTTTCATTGAAAAAAATGATAAAAAATAAAATATACATATTTTATTTTGAATTAAATACGCATTGATAGAAAAGCGTAAGAAACCTCTAATCTGTTTTATTTAGTTTTATAATAATAACAGGATACTAGTTATGTATGTAATTAGGTGAATAGCAACATTAATATAAATTAAATTCACACTTCATTAAATCGTGTACGGAAATTAATGGGCCAGCCTCCACGAGCAAGGAAACGCAAGGGCTCTTATTTGAAAGGCACTGCTTAAATTGAATACCTCGTAACAGATGCTGCATCCAGATTCTGTGGGAACAATTATATCTGAGCGAGGTACGTGCCGGCCGCGAGCGTGCGCACCGCGTGTTTACACGGGCGAGCGTGCGCGCCGTGTGTTGGAATGGTCGAGCGGCACGCTCTAGTGCTCTTAATAATTAAATGCTAGTTGAACCCTGCCAAGCTGGCAGTGCCTATTTCACTAAACACGATTTCATTCGCTTTTTTGTATGTCTGTCATTTTAGTATGAATTTGGTAATCAATTTTAAGATAATTTCCAAATTAGTTAGATATTTGAAATCTTAATCATAGCCCAAAAGTCTGTCTATGATAATCAAACGATATATCACTTTCTTGTCTGTCTGTTTCTTTGTTTGTATAAAGGATAAAAAATAATGATCCATTTTCAAGTAATCTCTCGAACAGTTAGAAACTTGAGACGCTAAACGTAGCTCAGAATTATCCAAAAACGTAATACAAATTCGCTTTCTTGTCTGTTCGGTGCAAATTTTACTTTTTTATATTAAATAATTGGTGTGCAAAAGACACAAACAAAACAAAAGACACTAAAAATAATTATTAAATAAGTATTAATTTAAGTGTGGAGTATTTTTAAAACAGATTAATAATTACAAATGTCTTTCGGCCTTATAAAAATTCTTAATCTTTAATTTAACTAATACACTAGATGTACTGTAATAGTAGGAATAGTAGTTCATAAGTGACTTATGTAATATATAAATTCAGTACTTCAAAATAAAGCATATATGATAATAAAAACTTTGCTCCCTAGAAAAAGACGAAAATTATAAAAAAATAATTTTGAATATTTCTTACGTTGAACGTAGTTTTCATGTTTAGATGAATGCTTATCTTACTTTTATTCTATTTGATTGATGGACGGACTTAAATACGTTGATTTAGTCTGAATTGGTACTGCGTGGACAGCGCTATAATAAAATAATAATATCTTCAGACTTATACAAATAGCATCATCTGGTCCTGATTTATGATTTAGGAAAAGAGGCTTGTACTATGGGTACCAGATAATTGATACTATATATATATTTGTGTGTGTATATATATTTGCTTTTGTAAATATATACATATAATACACAGAAAAGCCTCGATTCAAGACAAATATTAATGTTTAATTAAATAAATCATTGCTTGTCTTGTGTGGGAATCGAACCCACGCCCGCAACGCAGCAAGTAGAGTCACCACCAACTGCGCCAAACAGACAACCATGTGCTATTTGTTACAACACATTCAATGTCTAGCAGAACTGTCACGAATTTTGGGTAAAGGTGCACCCCGGGTCGATAGTAGGCCAAACCTTTCATTGGAAAAAAAAATGTTACTTCGCCTTGTGTTCTCGAAATTAAACTAGTTGTGGAAATGTAATTTACAGTACCTAATACGCCTAATGCATAGTGAAAACCTAATTATTCATGTCTATTTACAATAACCAATGTAAACACGGCTCCTTCACTACGCCATGTAACCCACGTTCGCTTACTCGAGATTTTTCCACCGCTTAAGATATCTCTCGCGATAATTCAGATGCTGAAAACACAGCACCGACCTCGCTGGTTGTTCACAAACAACCAGATAAATCTTTGATAAACCGAAACTTTATTACGTGTTGGCTGACCAGTAAAAGGGATTAAATCTTTGTTTCAGAATAATTATCACATTATAATATTTAAAACGAGTTCAAAACTTCTCTTACAGACTCTTAACCCAGAGTTAGGTTCAGTCATGTAGCATTTGGAAAAAAACTTAAAAAACAATAAAAAATTTTAGTCTTAAGACCGCAAAGCGGTTTGGGCGATCGTTGCTAAAAGAGGAACGTCGGGCGACGACGCTAGATCCAAGGGAGGCGCGCGCGCCGGCGATAGGTAAGTATAGTACCGGCAGCACAATGACACAACACACATCAGCGAGATAAATACAATGGAAATAAGGCAAATGGTGTCATCAACAGCTATACTTAGCACATGGGAAAAGTGCTCTGTGCCGCGCGAGCACATACCCTACCGCAGAACACAAATCCAAAGCGCGAGCATTCCAAGCTCGCATTGAAGAAGTCCGAAATGAGAACTGGAGTGATCTCATGGAGGAAATTACACCGTCACATAAAGAGTTTTGGAATGTCACAAAATGTACTCAAACCAGAGGGGTATATCACTATACCTCCTCTCAAAAAACCGGCAAATTCCATTGCCCTAGACGACGTGGAGATAGCTGAGTACTTAGCTAATCGTATCGAATCCCAATGTTCTTACGCTCTCCCTCTGCACGACATTGCGCATATTCAACATCAAAGAAGAGGTCCAGAACAAAGCTTCTCTTGAACCCAAAGACGATCTGCCTCCCTTCTCGCTCAGCGAAGTTCAAACGCTGGTGAAATCCCTCAAAATAAAAAAGGCACCAGGTCTCGATGGCATTATTAATAAAGCAATCAAATGATTTTCTCTGCCTCTATTGGGGTTACCGGTCGCGATATTTAACACGTGCCTAAGAAATTGCTATTTTCCCCCCGTCTAGAAAGAGGCGGAGGTAATAGGCATCCATAAACCAGGGAAACCTCGTGACCTCCCTGCCAGTTATAGACCGATCAGCCTCCTAAGCGGTCTGAGCAAACTTTTCGAAAGAGTTCTCAAAACTCGCTTCAGCGATCACCTCCTCGGGAAGGGCCTTATCATTAATGAACAGTTCGGTTTTCGCCCAGTGCATTCATGTCCCCAGCAAGTCCTCCTTCTAGTAGAGTATACCTCGGAGGGCTTTAAATAAAAGCAAAAAACCGTAACTGTCTTCTTTGATGTAACTAAGGCCTTCGATAGAGTATGGCACGCAGGCCTAATTTATAAGCTTTACGCGCTCAAAGTACCAGATCATCTCATTCATATCATCCATAGTTATATCAGCAATAAGCATTTTACCTTTAGATACGAGTACACTCACTCAACTAGACAACGTATCAGAGCAGGAGTTCCTCAAGGCTCCCCCCTCTCACCCTACTGTACTTCGCGTACGCTAACGGTATTCAGCGTCCATCATCAGGCGTCCAACTCGTGTTATTAGCGGAGGATACCGCATTTTACTTTCGTGCTTGACTTAAAAAAATTATACTTCTCCGCCTCCAGAGGGCCGTTGATGAGCTGAGTAGATGATTCTGCACCTGGAGGATCGAGTTCAATCCAGAAAAGTAGCTGCTATACAATTTAAGTGTAGTAAACGTAGGAATCGACAAATTGTCGACTTAGACACTCCCCATCTCAGAACATCGAACGTGAACATTCCGTGGCAGTTCAATTACAAATACCTAGGAGTCACGCTCGACAAAAATCTCCATTTTAAAGATCACATCGAGCGCGTTACAAAAATTACTATTTTCTACCGAGCGCAGCTCGGAGCCATGCTTGGTAGATAAAGCAAACTATCTCGCCGCAATAAGCGCACTATTTACAAAATGTACATAAGGACGGTGTTGACATACGCGTCCCCGGTCTTCGCTCACGCCGTCCCGAAAGTACTGGATAGGCTCCAAGTTATTCAGAATAAATTCTGTAGAGACGCTACGGATGCATACTGGTACGTCAGTAACTTAATACTTCACAGGGACTTAGAACTCCCAACCATAGCTAAATTCATGAAGGACACATCCAAGCGATTTGCGACATCGCGGGATCTCATTCCAATGCGATCCTTTGTTCAGCAGTCGATTAAGAACCACCTCACCATCATCATTTTATCCGTAGGCCACGGAATGTACTTACCGATTCACCTGACCTTACAGCGGCAGTAGATAGTCTCATGGAAGTCAACGATGCACATGACTGACTATGCGTAGGTATTTCTCTACTAGTTAGTTCTTAGACCATAGCTCCCCTACTCCACCCGGCCGCTTCCGCCCCCGGGTAGGTAAAATGGACCTGACCCGTGTCGGTATTCAGTGACTATGCCGAGGCGATCTCTTAAGGAATCGCCCATAAGGCATGTCACGCGCCGGCGACACCCTCGCATGTCGCCCGGCCGCGTTCGATGAAGCTATTATAGAAGTTCAGCTATATAGCATTGCCGAACAAATTATTCCAACTTCAGGGGGAAGTTTTTAGTGGGTTTCAACCCAAACAACCCGCGTGCACGAGCGCGCGGGTGTGTTATGCATTTTTTATCTCCTCCTTGCCGCAAAAGGGAAAAAAAAAAAAACATGGGAAAAGCTCTTAGTGTATATAACCATAATATGAGAGTACCTAGGAGAGCTATGGTTACTTCCGTTTGAACGCTGTTAATATTTTTTTGTAAAATGATATTCAATTGCTAATAATGTTAAGAAATGATTTAGTTAGTTCTCTTGAAAAATACAGTACTAAATCAGAATGTAGTCTATCGTGATCTCATACAGCCGCTATATACCTCGGACATTACTATTTCAATGCTAATGATCTGGCAAATGTCACTTGGTCCCGATCGTGTCACATTATTTTATAGCATTTTTGAAGGACAAACGAAGTTGCGAACTACCAGAGAGAGGGTGGTCATCGTCGCCCATGGACACTTGCAACCCTAGAGGAATGGCTAGTATGTTGCCGGTCTCTTGGATAGGAATGGAAGATTTAATGGAGGGTAAGTTCGGCGATGAAGAGGTAATCGGCTATGATTTGACTTTCAATATTATTCTAAAATATAAATATCTAAGTCAAAGGCAGTCTGACAGTAAATGAAACTGAAAAACGGACTTTGTGTCTGAAATAAAGTTTTATGTTTATTAACTTTTTTATGGTTATGAACCAAAACAGCAAACACGGAACTCTTGTCGTTTCGTCCGTATGTCCGTATGTCACAGGTATTTTATTCAAAAACGACAAAACGTATATGGATGAAATTTATAGAGTAGATATCTTGTATAAGCCGCTATTTAGTTCAGTAGTTAAATAACAAAATAAATATTTTTAGCGGGGGCATTCCATATATGTAACAGAAGCTGAAAAAAAATTTTTCAGCAAACGTCAACATGTGCATTTGTTTCGACAGTTCTTTTAACAACACCTTTAGATTTGTGAGAATTTTTTCTGTTTACTAATGAATAATTTCGGAATTAATCGCTCCGAAATCAGCAGAAATCATATCCTATCCCCTCTATTTTCTAAACCGTACATATGTCCATAAAATATGAGATAATAACGAAGGTAACGTTTAATAAATACTTTCATGCAAATTATTTTGCAGAACGGATATACTGTTTTTTGAGTTAATGTCGAAAAACTGTGCTTCTTAACACAAGAACGTAAGTGCCATCAACATATGCTCTTTTCCTAATACACTTTAGTTTACACTAATTTAATAGTAATAGTCGACATACTTGTTTTTCTAGTTATAGGCGACAAAAGTGCTTATTCTGTGCGGGAAATATGGAAAAAGTGTAACACGTACTTTTTTCATCTGTAGTGCATTGCTTCATAATAATGACTTTGGAACCACATAATGAACACAGTCCGACGCTCTTGGCCAGTTTTTTTTTATTTTACAGACAGTCTTCTTACTTTAAGTGAGCAATTTTTGTGCATATACAAATTTGTATATTAATGTCTCGGCATCGGCAGCCGGTGATTATAATCAAAATTTGTACTTTAATAACGTTTTACCACTAATGTTTATTTATATAAGAAAAATCTTGCTGCATAGCGCAATTATTGCTATTTTGTTATCATTGCACTGTTACTATGCTATTAGATGAACAGACGAACGCTACGTTAACTCTACTAATATGGCATAAATTGGACAAAAGACACTACGACATTGTTAACCTCAGAGCAGATAAAAGGTAAACTTAGCATATCATGTGGTGTATGTATATCATATATCTAAATATTTAATATTGAAAATTAACATAAGCAAACTTTCCCGTGAGAAGTTCCCGAATTGCCACAGTTAGACCAAAAGACGCCTAGCAAAGCTCTGTTGCTCAGGTACTTTATTGTTTATAAAAGCAATATAATATAATACAGGCAACGTATAGCTTATTACTTGGTATGACATTAAATCGAGCTACCCTGGACGTTACCTGTACTACTCTCCTAATACATTGGATAATTATGTGATTTTAAAAACATGAATACATTTCTGTATGCTTTAAATACCTGTTTTAGAAGTTATCGCTGAGATAAATCCACTCTATGTCTTAAATTTTGATATAGTCTCAGCAAAAATTCTCTCTTTACTCTTTTACATTATTC